GTAGTGCAGTGCATTGTGAAACAAGCTAATATCAATAAGAAAATTAAAGTACTTTTGCGGGCTGGATAGGATTGTGTGGAGGGCCTGATTTGGCCCGTGGGCCTTGTGTTTGACCCATGGGATGTAAACAAATTTCAAAACCAGTCCATAGATGGTAACTGAGCTGCAGTAAGTTAATAATAAATTGTTTTTGTGATGTCACACTTACATACATCTTCCTGTTCACACTGAAGTTTAAAGGAGGGTAGTTTATGAATGAGGTACAATACAGAGAAGCCAATCAGAACAGAGGTTATTCGAATATATCAGCCTTCAGTAACACAAACAGCCTGTTCAATCCAAAGGGATCAAGAGAGGTTAGACAGGTGAGATACGGACCCTTTAAAACAGGTTTAAAAGGCTTTAGTTCTAACAGTATTTTAACACATTAAAATCATTTAAAACCATAGACTTTTTTACGGAGCTCCGCTGTTGATATCCTGCATAAATAATGCGTGGCCACGACTTAGTAAGGCATGGGAACAAGATAATTAGGTCATGGTCACGACTTGGCATGGGAATGAGATCCTAATGCGTGGCCACAACTTAGTAAGGCGTGGGAACGAGATCCTAATGCGTGGCCATGACTTAGTAAGGCATGGTCACGACTTGGCATGGGAATGAGATCCTAATGCGTGGCCACAACTTAGTAAGGCATAGGAATGAGATCCTAATGTGTGGCCACGACTTAGTAAGGCATAGTCACGCCTTGGTATGGGAATGAGATCCTAATGCATGGCCACGACTTAGTAAGGCATAGGAATGAGATCCTAATGTGTGGCCACGACTTAGTAAGGCATAGTCACGACTTGGTATGGGAATGAGATCCTAATGCATGGCCACGACTTAGTAAGGCATAGGAATGAGATCCTAATGCGTGGCCACAACTTAGTAAGGCATAGGAATGAGATCCTAATGTGTGGCCACGACTTAGTAAGGCATAGTCACGACTTGGTATGGGAATGAGATCCTAATGTATGGCCACGACTTAGTAAGGCGTGGGAACGAGATCCTAATGCATGGCCACAACTTAGTAAGGCACGGTCTCGTTCTCATGCCTTACTAAGTCGTACCCTTGACTTAATTACCTGATTTCCACGCCTTACTAAGTCGTTGTCACGTATTAGGACCTCGTTTTCACGCATTAAGTCGTGGCCACGTATATTTTTATTGATATGGGATGTCACCTTTTGGTGCCCAGGTCACTCGGATCACCCCTATGGTGAATCTGCTCATGCCTTTAGACATTACCTCGTCATCCAGCTCTTCATCATCATCTTCATCACCCTGTTTCTCCAGAGACAGAGCCCTGTCGAGGGCGTGGAGGGGGGTGTCTCCACACTGGACCCCAACAAAAACACAAAAACAACAACAAATCTGCCAGTCAGGACCAGAAAAGGTTTAAAAAAGGCAACGTATGTGGAGAAAAGTACGTATTTAGCGTGGAGCACAGAGGGCGACACTTACAGGGGTCTGTTTGGGGGGTTTCTTGTGCTGGTGCTGCTTCCTCTCCGCCAGTGTGTCCAGTATGATCTCGCCGTTTTTCGAATAAGCTGCCATCACTTTAGACACTGTTTCCTTCGACATGTTGAGTAACTCCGCGGTTTTGGCGACCGAAGCTCCTGTGCTTAAGGCTCCGACTATCTGGCCTCTCTCGAACGCGGTTAGTCGCTCCATGTTGACAATAAAAAGCGGTTTTTCTCCCTTTCCTTCCACTTTCCTGCTGCCTAGCAGCGCATTCGTCTTCCTCTGTGCGTTGGTGGAGCGCAAACGAGAAGTGCACAGCGCCCCCTGCTGTAATACTGCGGGACCAGCCAGCAAGAACTTACTTACTTACCTACTTACTTACTTACTTACTTATTTATTTATTTAAAGAATATATGAAGTATATGCCCTGCGATGGGCTGGCGACCTGACCAGGGTGTATCCTGCCTTCTGCCCAATGACAGCTGGGATAGGCTCCAGCACCCCACCGCGACCCAGAAGGATAAGCGGTTTAGATGATGCATGTATGAAGTATACAACCAACGTCAGACCAACACATTATCAGACACCATATAAGAGTATGTGAATGGTACAGGAGGATGCATACATACACATATACACATACATACATACACACACACACACACACACACACACACACAAAAGATTAAAGCCAGTTAATCAAGTGCCTCTCCATAAAGCCGCTCATAGAAATCCAAAAACCTTTTCTTTTCTTAGTTTCTTAGTTGTAAGGACTGGAGCAGTGATTTAAATTCCACTAAAAGAGGGACGGGGTTGGGCTGAGAATTTGAAAACTTCTGTTTATGAATAAAAAATTTAGATGAAATATGAAAAATGATAAAATGTAGAATGAAAGAATCAACAATATACTCGAGAGACTTGTTCGTAAAGTTACTGTAGTAACAAACAGTATCTCTGAGATTAAAGGAATAAGTAATTCTGAAAGTAAGTTGGTCATTCGTTCTCTCACACTGAAAGAACAGGTGAGTCAAAGTTTCATCAGCAGATCCACAGAAGGAGAAAAAGCTATCAATGTCAGCACATTTGGAAATAACAGAATCCACAGGGAATATTTTATGTAAAAGTTTAAAGTGAACTTCTTTGATCTTATTGGACATACAGTATTTATGAGGCAAAAGCCACGCCCTTTTCCAGTTGATATCCTCAGTAACGGGCGTCCAGTAGAACTTTTGTTTCTTTGTTGAAGAATATATCGAATATGTTTATTATCACATTTTTTTCAAGTATATTTTATACCACCCAAAAGCAGTGAGGGCAGCCAGCAGGAACTCTGAATGACAGACCATGAAACCTAGTTTATTTCTTCAGAGCCCCTAAGGGAGGGGTCAGCACCCCAAACAGTGAGAAGAGCTGTTTTGTCCTTTCAACAAAAATCAAACCACCTTGGGAGCCACATTTTATGTCAGTTTTACCATCTTGGCTGTAAATGTGTCTCAGTGTGTGCTAATGTACTAATATAGGCTAAAAAATATAAACATGAACACAGACTTACTTTGCTCTGCTTTAATCTTTAGCTCAGCTATAGCCGCTTTTCTCACATCTCCAGCAGGAAACTTTTCCACAAAAGTAGAACAGTTTCTTGTAAAATGTCTCTCAATGTTTGTTTTTTTTTAGCTTAAGTCTTCTCGTTCGCCAGCTTCTTGTACTAATTTTCCAGTTCCACCTTAAATGGTGCCTGAGGCGCCAGAATGTAACTGCTGTGCAATTTAAGGTGGAACGGGAAAATTAAAACAAAGAGCTGGCGAATGAGTAACTGACTTCAGCTTCGCGACTTTTTGTGTTTGACAGCTTCTCGTTGCAGATTAAACGTATCAGGAAATCAGCTGGAGTGATTATAGATGCAAATAAATTCATTCATCTCCAAATTATTTTTGTCTTAAATCTTTGTCTTTTGCTTAGCTACTGGCTAGGCGAGGTCATTATCTGCGATGCAATAGTGACCAGCAGTTTATATGGGACGTGCTCTGTAAGTTACTGTACGAGGTCACAAAAAATATTTTGAGGCCTGGAGTTATGAGACGCTTAACTCGTGGCCTCAATATAGTTATTTGTGGCCACACCTTATTAAAAAATAATCGCCAAGTCACCTTAGGGGCACCTACATTCCTCGATAAGTTATTGCAAATATTGTGTTTCACCCTCTACAGTGCATAATATAAAAAAAAATCACAGGCTCAGGTGTAATTCAGGGGTAAAGGCCAAAAACCACAACTGAATGCTTATGACCTTCAACCCCTGTGATGGCACTGCATTAATAACCAACATGTTTCTGTAACATGAGCTCCAGAATACTCTGACAAACTGCTGTAAATAAACACTGCCTGTCCCTGGGTCCACAAATGCAAGCTAAGGCTGTGGTATGCACAGTTAGTCATATGACAACAGTGACCAGAAACACTGCCGATTTCTCTGGGCTTGAGCTCATCTGAGGTAGACAGATTCTCAGTGGAAATGTGTATTGTGGAATGAACGCTGCGTTCGTCGGATCAAAAAGGACCATCCAGACTGTTACCAGCACAAATTTCAAGATCCAGAATCTGTCATGGTACTGGGTTGGGTCACAGAGGGTAACCTGCACATTTGTGAAAGCACCGTTAAAACACTGAACACATTGTGGAGCACATGCTGCCATTCCAACATTAAATGCCATTATCTCCAGTGTTTCCAGACTACAATAAAGTCATGTGTTGTTAGAAAGGGGGCACAACATCCTTTTATCCTGTAAAGCTTGAAGCTGGTTACTCTTATTTTCACCGAGTTATGGCGCTCTAAATTTCTCTGGCTCTCCCGACCTCCGACACAGGCAAGCGTCTTAAAGGCCTCCTAGGGTGCGCCCAAGTCAGATACACATTTGTGAGATACTGGGGTCCATATCTCCACTTTCCTGAAGGCTAGGAATGCAATCCAGGGCCTGCTGGAAAGGGCATGTCACACTTACTGACCTGAGGAGTTTGTCTTTGTTACAGATTTTAAAAGTCAGGATTTTTATAGTTCTTGGTTGCCAAGCATTTCCTTCTCCTGTGCCTTTAACTACGACGCCATCATCGATTAGTCAACGTCGACCTGACTTTCATTAAATAACTGTTGACTCTAAAAAACCTTAAGTCATGCAACCCCTACTAGCTAGAGCAGTCCACAACGAACCATTCAACAGGGTCACTGAAAACTACCTAGGACTACTTTAGAAAAGCCTTTCAAGATGACGAAACTTTAAATTCAAATTTGTTACTTTAAAAAACACCCACATCCTGTTTCAAACTGTATTTTCTCATGTTTGAATGTCAAAACCTACTAAGAAACAAGAATATAAACAGTTTTGAGGAAATACAGAACAGAAATATGAGGAAACGAAATAGTTTTAACACATTTAGGTTTAAAAATAAAAAGAAAAATAGAAGTCTTTCAGAGGGGAGACTGAATTACTTTCACAATTGTCATGGTTATCAGCCGTTTTAATCAGTGTCACTGATCACAACGCACAAAAGAACAACTATGCTTATCAACAGCATAGTTACACAGAAAACTGTTCACACTGAAATAATCACAGGCCTCCCTGAGCAGAGATCTGCTGCCGGACAGGCTGTCTGAGTACGTGGACATGAATTTGAACTGGTTGTTAGTGAACATGACAGGGAACCAAAACCAAGTTTCAACCAAAGTCTGTGAAAAGGCAAAGGCCACAGAGTTGGTGCTGTGTCTGTTCTGCTTTAGCCTCTACGAGGCTTTGCTCTTGGAGGCAGGCTCCGTCTCCTGCTCATACTCGATCTCCACATAAGCTCGCTTCTTCCTCACTGGTCCTTTGAGTGGGGTCTTTCCTTTCGACTTGACTGGGGGCTCTTTCTCTACTTCCATTTCTTCCTCCATCTCTTCTTCTGATTCATCCTCTTCTTCACTCTCTTCCTCTTCTTCTTCCTCGTCGCTGGCCTTTAGGTTGTTCATATCCTGCAAATGCATTTCATGGTAAACACAAGACAGTAGTTATTACCATTATCTTCACAATGCATTGTTAATATACTGGCATCACAACACTGAGCAGAAGTCTGGGTTATGCAAATGAGCCTCCAACCAAGCACTGCTTATTTAACTGCTTACTTTAAGCATCCTGGCCTATTATTGCCATTCACTGGGCATTTGGAGGAATCAAAGTTATCATCCATCACTGATCTATCAAACATCATTTAGACTAACATTCACAAGTTTGAGATCACTGTTTTCAACATCATAAAGGCAATTTTGTTGCAGATACATGAACAAAGTGCTTCTGATACGCTATTTTGCATAGTTTTCAAACAATTTGTAGAAAGCTGTAAAATTTTAATGTTGAATGGAGCTGCAGTGGATTCCAGACTGACTAAGGAAGATGTATAACATGAATTATCTAAAAAGAAAGTTAATATCCAGGATGCCTCATACTGGAAAAACAGTAATTAAACAGCTACTTGTGATAATTGACAAGAATTTACTATAAATAAATAATTATAGTTTATTATTTACTAACATTTGCTTTTTTCCAAACCATCTTTTGTTGTTCCCAACATACTTTAAATTGTAGACAAACCATCAGTTTAGGTTGTGGTGTCTAGTTTAATCTATACTAAGTTCTTATGAATTAACTACAGTGGTACACATATACAATGCAGGACAATTCTTAACCACAACATACAGGTTTTTAATCTAGGATGAATCAGAACTGCGATATACCTGCAGTATGGTTTATACAGTGTTATGTATATGCTGCACTCAAAAAACAGCAAAAGCACTGATGGGCTCACCTCAAAATCGCTGAGATCACTTTCTTCAATCTCATCGGCTGCCACAAATTCTCTCTTTCCAACGTCCTGCAGAGACAAACACAATTAATCAGCATGGCAAAGTCAAAACCACATCATCCCTACAGCAGAGCCACCTTCACAGAGCCCAGTTAACTCACCTCGCATACGTTTGAGTGTCAGTAACAGTCACATTAAACTAACATGAACACAAAGGAAGTTGTTTACCTCATCCTCCTCCCTCCTCCTCTCTGCTTCAGATTCTGTCTCACTCTCCACATCTTGTTTCTCCAGGGCCTTATCGAAAGCATGGACTGGGAAGTTGTAGATGTCTCCATACTGATACAAATGAGAAGATAAGAGGACGTTATTCAAGCTGCTCTCTACTTAATGGTGAAGTCAGAGATTCACACAACGATTAGATTCCTCAGGGTTTCAATATCAGTTCAAAGTCACCCGAGTGCTGTGAGGTCATTCTTACCGTGCCCTGTTTTAACCTCTCCAGTAGCTCTTTCTCTATGGCGTTATCCAGCTGAGCAGCAATAAGAGCTTTTTCCTGCAATGAAAAAACGATAGAGGTATTTCATTCTTTAGACTAGACCTGATTTAATACAGGAATACATGTACTTGGCCTAGAAATATAGAGTTGTATACAGTTTTTACGGCAACACAAAAACAGACACTGATTGTTATTCACTCACCTCTCTCCTCTTCTCTCTCCTCTCTACTTTCCTGCTAAGTGGGACCAGTTTTCTCCTGCAAACAAATTAAGACTTGTACTGAGCACAGTATTGTACTATAGCAACAAGCAAAGACACGCTGGGCTTTATGGTAAAAAAAAAAAAAATCCATATTGTAAAACACAAAATGAGGTTTGCTGTCACTGATTCTCATTACTGACGCACCAAAATAAAAACTCCTGTCTGGAACTGAATTTCTAGACCTTACTGGTCAAAAACAAAACTGAAAAAAGGGCTTTTTGCTGTAAATAAACATTATAAACATAAAAACCACAAGGTAATAAATTTCACATAAAATAGTCTTAGTAAAACGTGTAGTGGAGACACTCTTGGGTGTGGAATGTCCTCTTGATACTCAAGATTACCAGTGAATATAAATCGCTTGTCTCAGGTCCCTGGCTGAAACTGGGAAGTTGTTCCACATACATTTTTTTCCCCTATTTGAACGTGTCTGCACTGCCCAGCACAGGAAAGTTAAGGGAAAAAACGTGCCTTTAATCACCGTTTCTCAACCATTCAGATTATTTGTTAAGTGTTAGATTTTGACACTTCGCTGCAGTCCTATTAAATCTCCCGCTTTTTCGACCAAAAACCAAAAGTGCGACTTTTGCCCATTTTGGGCTGAAATGTTTTGGTGGCTGAAACTTCAGTGCCCTTATTCTTACTGGTGTGTAAATGGGTCAGTTACAGACAGAAAAAGGATTTACAAAATTACATCAGCCTACAAAACTACAGAAAGGACAAAAAAGAAGAGAGAGGTAAACAGATGGATGGATGTACTCACTGTCTCTTCAGCGTGAGTTTGCGGATGCGGATAAGATACTGTGTGATCTTAGTGAAGCGCTGTTTGCACTTGTGCCGCATATAATGTGGCCAATAGATGAGATTCTCGTCGATTTCCTGCAGGGCCTTTTCATAGTTCTGACTCAGTTTTACCTGAAACAGAACATCAGAGCTATAACATGCGGTAAAAAACAATCAACACTGTATTATAATACAGGAACAAGCAAAAGACACGCAGTGGATTATGGTAAATAGCATGAGGCAAAAAGCAAAATATGGAAAGTTTATCCAGCTGAAAAGTTTTGGGACGCTGTGGGTAAGCACTGCTTTATGAATATATTTTTTAAAGCTGGATTCCAACTTAATGTTGGACTAATGATTATTTTACTATTATTACTTTACATGTTCAATCAGAGAACTACAGAAGGCCATTATGTCACTATTGGGTTTTATTCTGCACTTTTATGTTGGGAGCCAGTTTGGGTCAGTTTTGGAGAGTTTTGATGGGCTCAGGTTCAAACTCAAAACATGGTGCCGTGGGTCGGTTTGGGCTCTGACAAAGTTCCCAGGCTGTATTTGGGTTCGGAACACTTCTAACACTTATAGATGAGCTTTTACATTCTTTTTAGCCTTAAACCAGCACTACATGATGAGAGAGATATGTTGATACAGCAGCAGAGAAGGACTGAATGCAATTATAAGTTACTACATAAAACCATTTTTGTCACTTACTTGTTATAGAATGTATTATATACGCATGGCTTACCTTCTCCCACATGCGAGCTGGGAAAGCTGCTCTTTCAATAACTTTCATGTAGAGGTAACACCGACCTGAGAGTACAAACAACCCAGAGTTATAAAATACACTAGCTACGATAATTCAAACAAACTTTCCAAGAATCACTCCATACCTTTCTCCTCTCTGACTGTGGCATACTGACTGTTGGCCAGGGGGCATGACTGGCGATTACAGAGGCCGGTGACGTTGTACTCATTCCGGCAGAACTGTTGCGTCTTTGTTCTTCAGTGTTCAAAGGAAAAATCGGTGTAAAAGTCAGTACTGTCTGAGAAGATTAAACACACATACTGCACAAAAAAGTGAATACAAATCAATAACACCAGTAGCTTTATCCACATTTCAGTTTCAGAAGAACCTTTATACTTACTTGACTTTATAGGAGCAGAACTGTCTATTGCTGATAAGATCCCATATTACCTTTAAAAAAAAAAAGGAAAGCTTAATTAGAGGACGGTGTAAAATGTATAACAGAGTAGACCGAGTACAGTTGTTACACAATAACTCTTATCTGTATATTGCTGTGATTCATCATTGATCTGTCTACTAAAAAAGACTAATTTTGCAATACGTCAGAATACTTTAGTGAAATCCTGACAAATTCTGAAGGTGGTCAGCAGGGGACAGTTATAAGAGACCTTGTGGCCAATTACATCGTCAGATGCTCCTAAGTGTGCATAAACCGAACTCCCACTTCCATTTAACAGCTTAAGAAAAATACAAGACATCATACAACCCTAAAAAAATTTAAATTTCTTATATTTACCATCATTAAATGCTATAATTTACTCATTTGCTGTTTATTATTTCTGTTCTTGTGGAAATTAAGACTTACTTGCAGGGTGTAGAGCAACAAATAAAGCTCGAAGATTCAGTAACTCTTGTAGTATTATTAGAAATTTTACATCATATAAATTAAATACGGCAGCTTACAGGTTAAAGTAACACGTTTTCATTAACTGACTAATGACTAATGTTATCATTCTATAGGCCAATTTACAGTATAATAAATGAGTGTTATGACCAAACTAATCATTAACAAATTGGCACCTTGTTTTTCACAACTTTCTGTGAAAAATATGAACCATGTACACGGTTTTGCTTATGAATGTGTTGGTAAACAAGCAAGCAAATACACGTAGATGATGTCCATCTACAGTTTTGTGTCCAAGAAACAAAAGAAAAACATTTATAATAATAATAAACGAAGCTCAAATTAGCTGCTTTTTGGATTTTCTCGTTCCACCTTAAATGATGCAGCTGCTCGGTAGCTCAGGCGCCTGTGCCACAATGTAACCGCTGTACCATTTAAGGTGGACCGGCAAATTCGAACTAGAAGCCAACTTCAGCGTCGTGCTGTGTAATACTGGTTCCTAAATAATGTCACATAAGTGACCAAGAAAGCGGTAAACAGAGTTCAAAGTCTGTATAAATGAATCTTGACCCGAGACCCCGAGCTGAAGGCGCTGGGTCGGGCTGTTTGTAGAGCAGCTCAGGCCGCGGTAACGTTACTCACACTGTCGTGCTGCATTCTGGATTCTTCTCCGAGACGCCGCTGAACCTTTAACCCACAGCGCAGTTAAACCCGGTGAGTTTAACTCCTGAATAAGTACAACTAAAACACCAACTTAACGCTGAACGCAAACTCTGATGAACCGGGAGCTGCCACATGTGCGGGGTAAGCGTCAGGAGGCGACCATGCTGGAGAGCGAGATTTCCGCTGAAGGAGGGGGGAGTTCTCGCGATATCTGGCCGAGGACGCGCAGTACGGTATAATAGTATAACAGTATTTCAGTATTTGAAACGGTTATATTTTATATGTTAATATATTATTAGTTTCACTCATTGTTAACAGGTGGTCGATGTACAAACACTGGCAGAACGATGACGTTGGTGTAATATTTATTTATTTACTTATTTATTTAAGTTAAGATAAGATAAGATAATATTAGATATATTAACATCTTTATATTTACTGTCGCTGTACAGGTACGAGATGTCGTTTGAAGCAAGCCTGTAGATGTTCAATTAAAAGTAAAACTATAAGTATGTATGTATATATATATATATATATATATATACATATGGTGTGGTGTTGTATAGGGGACCAAGACATCTACATTAAACTACTGTTTTTTGGTTATTTTTTACACCATAACGGACAATTGTACTCATCTCTCTCTCTCTCTCTCTATATATATATATACACGTATGTACATTAGCTGGATCAGTGCTGAGAACTTAAAACTTAATGCACACTAACCAAACCAAAATACATGTAGGGTGTAAAGTCACATAAAGACTTTTGGTGTTTTACACGTGTCCACAGTGGCTTTAGTCTTATATATAAAATACGTCTATAATTAAGAACTTTACGTTTAAACAGTCACATTTATAAACGCACAACGCCATTAGCTACAATAAAGACTTCACTTCAAACTTTCTCAGACTGATACAATCAAACCCAAGACCAAAAAAATATGAAACATTAGTAATTCTTATAAACTATTTTCATTAATTTTTTCTGTGATACAAAATGAACAATAGCTTACGTTGTTTATTCCAGTCCAGTCAGACGGTTTATGCACAAAGCGTAACAAGTAAGGCTGCGCATTTCACAATAAGTGTGAACAAACCAATCATCACGGTTATGAACTGGAAAGATCATTTAAAGCCTCAGTTCCTGTCGAGCTGATGTTCTCTCCCAGAGCAGGATTCTGCAGGAGGGTGAGTGGCTGTGTTGTGATCATGATAAAGTATTACAGTCTTTAGTGTCTCTAACATTAATATTACATTCAGAGTTGATTTATCACCGCAGGGAGCCTGAAAACCACAAACTGCTTCAACACTGAACACACTTTTAATCGCATTCATGAGAAGTGCATTCTGGGATTTGTACACGCAGCCTCCTCCTCGTGTGTAGATATGCAGCGCCACCTCGTGGCAGCCAGAAAAAAAAAATCAGAATCTAAAATGCTGGACACTTTCAGACAGACTGTCTGATCTCCAGTAGAAGCTGCTGTTTGTGGCATTTAGACCAATCAGGCCAGCATATAATGATCACCTCTTATGTTTAATTGATGCTCCTGTCAAAACACAAAAATCACAGCAAGTTACTGCCGTATATACATACATACATACATCATCTAAACCGCTTATCCTTCTGGGTCGCGGTGGGGCGCTGGAGCCTATCCCAGCTGTCATTGGGTGGAAGGCAGGATACACCCTGGACAGGTCGCCAGGCCATCGCAGGGCATACTGCTGTATATGATGTATGTATAAATAAACATTTTTTTTTATTCTACATTTATTTCATTTTTGAAAATGTACTGCGCATAACCATTGAGAGTTCTTTGTAGTACCAACCAAAGATGGTTCATGAAAGAACCATCCAGTAAATCAGTGGCCACCAAACCTCCTCCTGGAAATCTACCTTTCTGCAGGTCACAACTGAAACCTAAATCTAATAGACCCCCTTCAGCTACTCAAGAACCGTGTCCAAAACCACATACTACCATACTATACTTATGAATGGGCTTCTAAAGGAGGTGCACTGTTTTTGACATACTATCGTGTATACTATTGACATACTACTTAGTATACTAGTATGCATCAGCCAAGGACTTCTACAGGCAATAATTCTTTCAAGTGAGGTTGATTAGAGTTGGAGCTGAAATCTGCATGAAGGCAGATCTGCAGGAGCAGGATTGGTCACCACTGCAGTTAATAGTTCTTTAAGGAACCAAAGATTTTTATTATTTATTATTATTATTAGCATTATGTCCTTGTAAGCTTATACCACTAGTTAAAAAGACTGCATACAGTACACAGTATATATGGGCTCAGTATACAGTATATACTGTATGCGGTATACAGGCCATCTCTACTTATCAGTGTGTGCACCAGAAATTTTAAATAGAGTTTTCGTAATACAACCCCAATTCTGAAAAAGTTGGGGCATGGTGTAAAATGTAAATACATGTAAATAAAAACAGAATGCAATGAACTGCAAATCTCATAGACCCATATTTGATTCACAATAGAACATAGAACACATATCAGATGCTGAAAGTGAGACATTTTACCATTTCATGAAAAACATTAACTCATTTACAACTTGATGGGATCTCAAAAAAAGTTGAAACAGGGGCAACAAAAGGCTGGAAAAGTAAGTGATACTAATAAAAAACAGCTGGAGGAGCGATTTGCAGCTAACTCACATGACAGGTTATAAAAAAGAGCATTTTAGAGAGGCAGAGTCTCTCAGAGCAAAGATGGGCAGAGGTTCACCAATCAGCGAAAAAACTGCATCTAAAAATTGTGGAACAATTTCAGAAAAATGTTTTTGCCCAAATTTATTAAACCTAATAAGGTTGATGCAAATGCTACATCATTTATAAATCTTAGCCTACACACAGTTAAATCTGGGTTACGTCTTCCAGCACATGGTTTATTTCAGTTATGTACTTTAGTGGTCCTTCATGGGAAATGAGTCATTTTGCTGCCTAGCTATGCCCACTCTAGAAGCAGCCTTGGGGGTTAAGTCACAAGACACATCTAATCCCAAGATACAGCTAGGTATACCTGGCAAGTCCTGGGATTTGAACCCACACCCTTCTGGCTGATGGCTCACCTCCCCTACCGCTAGGCTATCAGCCACTCTGTGGGTTGGGTGGTTTAATCTTTACAATACAGCTGGTGTGTTTTACAACAACTCAAGCTGACTGAAAGAAAAGAACATTTTACAGTTAAGGTCTTAGGAGCTTAGCATATAAAGGCATCTGTAGGAGAGACTAACAAAAATAGGCCTGAGTGTTGTGTTCAGTGTTAATGTTTGGTCTGTTTAAAATACAGTCACTCTTTCTGGTGGTCTGGCAGTAGGACTGATACCCACATAGACCCCTGCACCTCCAGGGTAGATGTTTAATTGTATAACAGGGCAGGAATTTTGGCCTTCTACAGTGTTTCTGACGATTTCGTGACGAATTCACCGGATCTGGACCACACTCACTGATGCCCTCCCTCCTGGGATTTTTGTGGTCAGAATAATTCAGTACTGATCAGTTGATTATCAGTTAACGCATCTGTATGTTCAGTATGTATGTTCAGCATTGTACGAGATTATTGATCACAGTGATGACTTTGGAATGGACCAAATTTTAATTAGAGAAAAACAAGTTGCAGCAGTATTTAGATTAGACAAAAAAAAACTGAGCAGGGATTTAGAACTGATTCTAGAAAGCCAGTGGTCACCAAACTTCCTTGTGGAGATCTAGACTGTTTGAAATTACTTACTATGCACTGTATGTTAAATACTGTACCAATACCGTTTACTGCATTCTACTCCTCATAGTAGTATACAGTATAGTATCGAGTATGCTAGTAATTACTATGGACCACATACTATACCAATATATACTGTATACTGCATACTGTGCAGTGTACACTGTATACCATGTACTGTACAGGTATATACTGTATACTGCATACTGTAACAGGTTATACCATATACTACATACTGTTGCAGTATATACTGTATACAATACTGTACCATTATATTATGTATAATTTGTATTATTCTGTTTTTCACCCAAATTTAGATTCACTCGCTGTGTTACTATCTCAAAACTATTTCAATTCACTTTTTTAACGTTTCCTTCACTGGTGTAATGCAATGCTGGGATTGTTTGACCTCAAGCTCTGTAAGATTTGGCCCTACTTTGATCTAATAAATTATACACTGTTTGGACAAATGTATTGGGACACACCTCTGAATCTTTGAATTCGAGTGCTGAGGCGCGTAGTGCGTAAAAGTTGCCATCGCTCTGCTGATCAATAACTGCAGAGTTCAAACCTCCTCTGGCATCGACAGCAGCTCAAACACTGAGCGTTGGGAGCTTCACGGCATGAGTTGTCATGGCTGAGCAGCTGCATGCAAGGCTTACATCACCAAGCACAATGCCAAGCCTCGGAGGGAGTGGTGTAAAGCCGCCCCTGGACTCTGGAGCAGCGGAAATGTGTTCTGTGGAGTGATGAATCGCGCTTCTCTATCTGTCAGTCTGATGGACGAGTCTGGGTCTGGTCAATGCCAGGAGAACGTTACCTGCCTGACTGCACTGTACCAGCTGTAAAGTTTGGTGGAGGGGGGATAATGATATAATGCTATGGGGCTGTTTTTCAGGGGTTGGTCTAGAACCCTTAGTTCCAGTGAAGGGAAATCTTAATGCTTCAGCACCAAGACATTTTGGACAATTATATGCCTCCAACTTTGTGTGAACAGTTTGGGGAAGAACCTTTTCTGTTCCAGCATGACTGAGCCCCAGAGCACAAAGCAAGGTCCATAAAGTCATGACTGGGTGAATTTGGTGTGGAAGAACTTGACTGGCCCTCACAGAGCCCTGACCTCAACCCCATCAAACACCTTTGGGACGAACTAGAACCGAGATTGTAAGCCAGGCCCTCTCGTCCAACATCAGTGTCTGACCTCACAAATGCTCTTCTGGATGAATGGACAAACATTCAGACAGACACACTCCGAAATCCTGTAGAAATCCTGTAGCTTCCCAGAAGAGTGGAAGCTGTTATAGCTGCAAAGGGGGACCAACTCCATATTAAAGCCTATGGATTTAGAATGGGCTTCATAAAAGCTCCTGTAGGTGTGATGTATAGGTACACTGTTACAAAGACATTGTTTTCTCCTTGAAAAACTAAATAGATTTAAATAATTAGTGTCAAAAATAGTATGTACAATGGGAGTTGGCAGTACCAGTATTGTTATCAGTCAATACTTAAGGGGTCATTATTGGTATTGGAAAAAAGAGAGTTGTATCATGCCATCTCTACTTATCAGTGCTTGCTGTGCTGGAAATTTTAAATGGAATATCCATAATACTTTGTTGACAGGCATTTCCTCTTCCTTTATCAATCTGATCTGATTTATTAACCTTAAGGGCCTGTATGTGCGTTAACATGTTAATTCACACTTTACGTTCATAGTAGAATAATCTGCAGTAGTTACTGAATACAGTCATACATGAATACAGGGGGCAGTCGTGGGCTGGAGGTTAGGGAACCAGCCTTGTAACCGGAAGGTCGCCGGTTCAATCCCCTCAGCTGACAGTATGTGACTGAAGTGCCCTTGAGCAAGGCACCTAACCCCCAACTGCTTCCCGGGCACCGTGGATAGGGCTGCCCACCGCTCCGGGCAAGTGTGCTCACTGCCCCCCAGTGTGTATGTGGTGTTTCACTGCACGGATGGGTTAAATGCGGAGGTCTAATTCCGATGTGTTCAGACATGGTTGGCTAAAAACGGTTCATTTCATTTCAATACATCTTGCAATTACTAACTGAAGAGAATGTGTGCAGATTAATGGTTTTGGCTGCTCTACACGCTACTAAAGAGCTCCAGACTTGTGTTAGTTAGATATTTATAGCTCTTGCCCCATAACACAAATACAGGTTGAACTAGAAAAGCCACTCTACAGCTCTTACTGACAAAACTCTAGAAGAATGAAACTAACCTTGGTCTTTCTTCCTCCTCTTCAGTCTATTAAGACTTCATATGTGAGCACTTCAGAATGGCAGAAGCTCTAACATCTCAGGCCTCATTCAGCTGCTCAATTTGTGTGGATCTACTGAAGGATCCAGTCACTATTCCCTGTGGACACAGTTTCTGCTTGGGCTGTATTAAGGACTGCTGGGATCAGGATGACCAGAGGGAGGTCTACAGCTGCCCCCAGTGCAGAAACACCTTCAATCCAAGGCCTGTTCTCTACAAGAACAGTCTTATTGCTGAAATGGTAGAAAAACTGAAAAAGATGAGACTCCAACCTGCACAACCTGCTCACTCTTTTGCCAGACCTGGAGATGTGGAGTGTGACGTCTGCACTGGGACAGCTGTCCAGTCCTGTCTGGAATGTCTTCTTTCTTTTTGTGAAGCTCATATTCAGACTCACTGTAAATCTTCTGCATCGAAGAAGCACAAACTGGTCGAGAAAAGAGCGAAGAAAACCTGCTCTCAGCATGACAAGCTGCTGGAGCTGTTTTGTCGCACAGATCAGAAATTCATCTGTTTTAAGTGCACGATGGATCAACATAACGGCCATGATACAATCTCAACAGCAGCAGAAAGATCTCAGATGCAGGTAAAATGTTTATGCCCAAAATGGTGATTAAACTGCAAAGTATTACTACATTTATTGGTGAGATTCATTACTCTGTTTAGAATTGGGGCAGTACGGTGGCGCAGTGGGTGGCGCTGTCGCCTCACAGCAATAAAAGCCTGGGTTCAATTACTGGCTGGGCGACCAGGGTTCTTTCTGTGTGGAGTTTGTATGTTCTCCCCGTGTCTGTGTGGGTTTCCTCTCGCAGTCCAAAGACATGCAGTCAGGCCAACTGGACATGCTAAATTGCCCCTAGGTGTGATTGTGTATGTCTGTCTGTCTGCCCTGCAATGGAGTGTGTGTGTGTTTAGAATTGTTCATTTAAAGGAAATGAGATTCACTCTATCCAAGCTGTGCTGAGAATTTATACAAAATACATCTAGAATTGTAAAGAGTTGGAGTTTTGGAACAGGCCTTTTGGAGCCCACAATGAACAATATTAAGAAATTTAATTTAAGCTTAAATTGCACCAGATTGCTTCTGATTATAGCTTTAAAGCTGCTCTATGTAAGATTTGGGGATTTGGAGACCTCTCTGGTAGAAATTTGTAACTGCATTGAACATTTTGTAATGTGGGTTGTGCTTTGGACCCCTTAAGCGAGCAGATAAATCTGATGATTACAGGCAAGCTGAAAGCTAAATCAAAGAGAATTCAGTCAAAACTTGGTGAAGGACGTGTCATGTGATTATGTGAGTGAATTATCATCTATTGTCAACAGATCTTCATCAGTATGCCGTTGATTTTGTATTTGGGACCTGAGCATCGAGCTGGACCTTTATTTTGAGCCTGTGCGCATGATGTTAATATGTAAAGACACGTGACATGGTCTGAAAAACTCCCGATCCAATGCCTCTGACTTTTAAAATATTATTTCAGCCTTTACAGGGCGACTCGCAGCAGCACACACACTGTATTTTAGTCTGTTTGTTTATTTCTCAGTACTCAGTAATGTTTAGCATGTGCTAGACATGTGGCTGCTGTGGTTTGTACACATTGGTCTTTTTTTGTGCACAGAAACGGTTGGCGAAGATCCAGACGAAATTCCAGCAGGGAATCAAGCAGAGAGATAAGAAGCTGCAGGAAGTGAGACAGGCTATGGAGAACCTCAAGGTGGGTATACCGAGTGGAGCCAGCACAGAGTCAGGGCTCTTCTCCAGTCCGCCAGGGCGGACCTCAGTGTGGAACACACCGTCTGGGGATCCAGTAATTGAAAGAGCTGTTCAAATAAACCCCATCCTCTCTGTGTGCCTCCCAACAGCACTCTGCCCAGGCAGCAGTGGACGACAGTGAGGCGATCTTCACTGACCTGATTCATGCCATTAAGAGAAGACGCTCTGAAGTGAAAAAGCTGATCAGAGCTCAGGAGAAGGCCGAGCTGAGTCGAGCCGAGGGACTCCTTAGGCAAATGGAGCAGGAGATTGCTTATCTGAAGAAGAGAGACGATGAGCTGGAGAAGCTTTCACACACGGAGGACCACATCCATTTCCTTCAGGTATAGAGACAAACAAATCAAGTGCATGAGCCTCCATACACCTGGCGTCAAACTGGGACTGCTGACCAAATTTATTAAGATCTATCACAAGATCTATACTTTTGTCAGGGTTTTAAGGGTTACATGCTTCAGGGGCTGCCTTTACAGAATATACAAAACATTGATTTTCTTACCTTGATACAGACTAAACAGCCTAACTGAGGGACTAAAAATCATGGCTGGAATTTCAAAACATATAAAATGTGCATCTCAATTTACCTTTTGGCAGGAGGATAACAAGTTATAACAAAAAAAGAGGTAATAAGCAGTGTACTTAGTTAGCTAGTCGGCTAAGTTAACCAGTTAGTCAGCCTACAGGATCGGGTGCCCACTGCTCGCCAGCCTTCTGGACCGGCTTGACCACCATTGAGCTTCATGCTGTACAGCGCTGTGCAAACCTCACCCTCCTGAACTGACCCTCCCAATGATGCTGCTGCTGCTGCTTAAACTAAACTAACCAATTTAACCATTTGCTCCACCTGTTTTCCCTGTTTTTGTACTATAATACTTTATACTAACACTCTTTGCTGTCCGGTGTCGACCAGACGAGGATGGGTTCCCCTTCTGAGTCTTGGTTCCTCTCAAGGGTACTTCCTCTTGCTCTTAGGGAGCTTTTCCTTGCCACTGTCGCCATTGCCGACGCTCATGGGGGCTTGGACCCGGATTTTTCTGTAAAGCTGCTTTGTGACAACACCTGCTGTAAAAAGCGCTACATAAATAATTATGTTTATTATAAGGAGAATGAAACACCTCTCATAATGAAAAATTCTCAAAACGTCCCCATATATTCAGCAAAAGAGCAGCAGATAATTAACCAACTATATATTGATTTCTATATAGCTATTTAGCTACTGCTGTAGGCTAATCCCCTCTGTTCATTAAATCAATTCACTACCAAAAAAGTGGAGGTTGTTTGGTGCTGTGCCCAAAGAGGGTTTTGCTTAGGGCTTCCAAAAGCATGTACGGCCCCATCACTGGCTTTCTGATCAACTGTAAAAGTGCTGTCTATTACAAACACTCTGCTGTGAAACTGAAATTGAGTTGTCTGACTGTTGACTGTGATTGAGCTCTGGAGGGACAGACATTGTACACTTGCGCACTTCACATGTGTCTAATGTGTCCTCAGGCAGTCATAGATTTAAAATTCCATACATTTTTTCACATTTCTGCATCATTGAATTATTTAGATGTGAACACCCATAGGAAAAACATTCTTTCTTAAGATTGTTTCAGAGAAACAAAGCAGATCTCAATATTATATTAATGAAGGATCTGAATTGTTTGTCCCAAACCCCCCCTGAGGAGAAAAGAGGAGATTAACATCAGCATTTCACTGTGAGAAATTCTGGTGCTCAAGGAGAAAAGCGTGAGTTCTCCTTTTGCACAGATGACGATGAGATCTCACACTTTTCTTACGGAGATATTATTCAGCTGAGACTGGGGTGAGACGAGTCAGACTCTAAAGAGTTAAGCCACACGTGTGACAATATTTTGATCAAAGAGTTTTATTTCTCAGGAGCCAAATTTCAGAAAAGGCTAAAGTCTCACTCTGATTTCAGTACTGGACTTAACTGGGTCCAGGAGAAGAACCTGAGATCAAAAAGAGATCTCATTTAGAATATTTCTTTCCTCTGGGCAAAGTCATTAAGAGTCTATTGTTTACAGTGGTGGTGATAGGAACCAGACAGACGCAGTGTTTAATGTCCTAAAAGCTTCCTCACAGAAAGCTATTACATGAAATGAATATGAATAAGTTGCCCTATGCCTTATAGATTGTTGTATAATAGCTTTGATATACGAATTAGGCCTAAAATGCGTTTTAGCACTATTTTACTATTACCAACATTACATATAATAACTTAGAAGGCATGTGCAGGTTCACCTGATGGTAAATAAGGTGTCTATATTTGTATTGTAGATATTGCGAGGCCTGATTCCTGACTTTACCATTGCAAAGAAAATCGGTGGGCTTTCCCCTTTACTTTCATTCTCGTTCTTTTTGGACAACCTCATGTAGTTTCTTCATTCATTAATCATCATCGCATATTCATTAGTCATTTCTTTATTCATTCATGGGTTCCCATTTTGAGTCTTGATTCCTCTCAATAAGGGAGTTTTTACTTGCCATTTGTCATGATCATTAGACACTTCGGAGACACAGATTTCCATCAGTGCTTGAACTGAATTGTTCTGTATTGAGTTTTGACTTGTGTGTTATTTTTTTATCCCTCAGAGTTTCCAGTCTGTCTCTGGCCATCCTGAGTCGACAGACTTAGCCAGCATTAGCGTCACTCTACACTTCTCCATAGAGGAGCTGAGGAAAGCTGTGTGTGGAGTAAAAGAACAAGTGGAAGACGTCTACAGTGTTGCAGTGGTCAAATCAGCAGGAGGTTAGATTGTCATAAAGAATGTTGCTCATTATAGTATTAGAATTTACTGAATGTACTGATACACTAACTAGGAACTTCTTTTTACAGTCGTTTGCATATGTGTTTGTCTTTGTTCTAAATAGTTCACATTGTCCTGCCACATCAGCCGACAACCAGAAAGGAGTACCTGAAGTGTAAGAAACAGCTACCTACTTAACTGGCCTATTTGTGCTCCACCCACAAATGACATCTGACATAGCAACAGCTGATAAGCTGGAGAAGCATTACAGAACATTGGCACAAATATTACACAACCTAATGAGAAGTTAGTTTGGTCAAAATTTAGAAATTATAGAATGCGCCATTCATTTCAAACCATACTTAATTTGCATGTGTGTTAAGGGTGACACTGTAAAAGCCACCACACACTGTACATGTCCACCGCCAATAAGCAAGCTCAAGCTCAAGCTTTTGCACTTTACTCAGATAGATAGATAGATAGATAGATAGATAGATAGATTCAACTTTATTGTCATTGCTCAGCACAAGTACAAGGCAACAAAATGCAGTTAGCATCTACCAGAAGTGCAAATAGTATCAATAGTGCAAAACGCACAGTGCAAATGTACAATAACAGGCGTAAATACAACATATGTATGCAATATAGAAATGTATCTATGAATATCGCTGTCGGAAGAAAACCCTCATATCTCCATTTTTGTTGTTTTTCAGTTCTTGACATAATGTGAAAATGCCTGTTGATCTTTACATTGTGTGTAAATTTCATGAAGAATGGACCAAAAGAAACGGCCCAAAATGACTTGGAAAGACGTTTGGTTCCATAGACTTACATTAAAAGTAAAGTATGTTTTTCCTTCTCCTGTAAAGTTACCATTTTAGAGATACGAGGTTTTCTTCTGACAACAGCGAAATGTAAAATAGAAAATGGTAATGCTTGTTCATGTAATCATCATCATAACAGCAGTAATAGCCAAATAATGCAGCTATATATATATATATATATATATATATATATATATATATATATATATATATATACTCAATTAAATAAAACTTTCAACACAATCTGCCATGCTTGGTATTATTTTGCTACCTCACTTAGCAACTTTGCTATGTTTTCTCGCTGAAAGATGAAAACAGACTAGGTTGGTAATGTTAGGAGAGGTAAGCTACCATTAACCATGTAAATTGTAAGCCACATGTCATTTGCAAAGGCCTTTCTGTTATGGCCCAAAGAAATTAAACAGCTTGGAGTCACTGGTGTGTTCACCTGCATTAAAAACAGTGGTTTTTAATCTTTTAACACTGCGATGTGTGATGGGGTGGCTTTCAGTATAGATGCTTTAAAAGGATAAAGTAGTCAATTTTTTGTTGTGTCTTCTAGCAAATGTTACCATTGGGTCAAATTTGTTTTCGTTTTCAATGTGCATAAGTTTGATTACCTATCACAGCGTAGTATCACAACATAGTTTGACTCAGCAGTGCAGAATTTCAAACTGGAAACTCAGTGTTGTGTAGCAAATCTAAACTCCAGCTTGAATTTATGGTGGCCTGATTCTGGTGGTGATCTTGGATAGATTGTTCCAACTAGAGACTTGTGGGGGGGTCATGAGTGAACAGTTGTTAAGAATGCATTTGTGGGCGGAGCATGGAAAGTCCAGTTGCACTCAAACATGGACAATCAGTATGTTTACTGTACTATTTATGACATGAAATTGAATTCATTTTTGTAGTTTTACATAGAAACTGAAAATGACTTGTCATAAAATAGCTGATATTGAACTATTTGTCTGATCATATGAGTGAAAGACAAACATAGTGGTTGAAATTTCTCTTGTACCTCTGTCTTCCACCAGACTACTGTCCCCTCTCACTGGATCCGAGCACAGCGCACAAAGAACTCTGCCTTTCTGACGGAAACAAAAAAGTGTCATGGAGCCGCAAGCTTTATTTCAATATTTCAGAGATACTTGACGAGTGCAGACAGGTGCTGTGCAGGCAGAGCGTGTCTGGACGCTGTTACTGGGAGGTGGCCTGGACTGGTAGAGTTCATATCGCCGTCTCATATAAAGATCTCAGCGGGGATGGCAGTGAGTGTGAGTTTGGGTGCAACGATCAGTCCTGGAGTTTGATCTGCTCTGACTCCAGTTTCTCCTTCAGGCACAATAACAAAGAGACTAAACTGCCTGCCGTCTCCTGTTCTTCCAGAATAGGAGTGTATGTGGATTACTGGGCAGGAATTCTGTCCTTCCACAGCGTCTCTGACACAATGATGCCCTTCCTCAGAGTCAAGGCCACGTTCACTCAGCCACTCTATCCCGGGTATGGAGTTTGGTCAAGAACCAGTTCTGTTCAGATTTGTGAAATCAACTGATCTGTTGATGTGTGAGTGTTCAGATACCCTCATTCAGAAAATGAGCAGCACATAGAGAGAATTGTGTCTGGCTGAGAGTCATTAGCAGATGAACCTTAGGTTTGTGAGCCTCAGTGCTTGATTTGAGGGGGTGAAAATGGGTCAGTATAGTGACCACCTGCACCTTTTCCATCACCTTTGTTAATATTATTTTTATCCTATCCATATGTGAGATTTACACATGGGAGTTCTTCCTGTAAAACTAGAAAAGTGCATTTCCTGAAGGAAACGCGGAATGGTTGCGCAGTGGTTACCATGGGAGTCTACTGGAGGAACGAGGGATGAAAAAACTACACATGGCTGTGGATTAGAGCTCGGCGACCTGATTTGAGTGAGTACATGTACTTTGGTGGCTGTCAGGATAGACAGGACAGATTAGGGCTTTTGTTGCGAAAGAAAATGAATGGGACTCTATGGGAGGAATGAATGATGAAAAAACGATATATAGAGGAGTACGGGTCAGTGTGGCTGAGGATTAGAGCTTGGGGATCTGCATTGAATGAATACTTGAAGTTGGGCAAAGATAATAATAGTAGTGGTGTTTGGGCAAAAATGAATGGGACTCTATGGGAGGAACAAGGGATGAAAAAATGACAAACAGAGGGGTGTGGGTCAGTAAGGTTGTGGATTAGAGCTTGGTGATCTGCCCTGAGTTAGTACATCCGTTTTGTTATCTGTTGGACAAAGGAAATAATAGGGCTGGGGTTTGGGTGAAAATGAATGGGACTCTATCGGAGAAACGAGGGATGGAAAAAAAACGACAAACAGATGAGTGCGGGTCAGAACATTCGTGCTTGGGGGCCTGCCCTGAAATAGTGTATGCAAAATTATGTCTTTCGGTCAAGCAGAAGTACCGTAGATTGTCATGCAATTTTTCACCCCATTCATTCTCTATGGGAAAAAATTCCGCAAAATTCCGTTGCTACACGGAATCTGTGCATCCGATCAAAAAGCTGTATACAAGCACGCATCACACAATCAGACAATCAGGAACAGTTTTGATATCTCGAAAACTGCAGGACGAGTTACGCGGCAAAGAAACGGCAGAAAAATAAGAATAAAAGAGAAGAATAATATAAATCGGATAACAATATAGTTGCGCAACCATAACAGGTTACAAGGGCAGATGATGCACTTACCTACAAAATAGTTGGATTTGTAGAATCATGCTTTTCATTGGTTATGCTGTAGAGTGTTTGGTACAGTATGCACCCACCATAAGCGTTGCCAGGTTCACAGTTTTCCCACCCAATATGCCCTTTTCACAAGAAACGTAAACACTGGGTAAAACAAGTTCTGCCATTGCCTTTTGGACAGTTATTAACCTCAGAAACACAGGCGTCCGTATCACTTCAGCCACCACAGAAAGGTGTGTCTTTGTCGTAGATGCCAAGACTGAAATTCGAGGATGTGTCCAGAACTGTTGGAAAATCAAACACACAACAGTGTGGGCGTCCAAGCTAAATAAAGGATATAAATGTGGAAAAATTCCTTCACAGCTATCAGAGTACAGTAACGTCAGCTAACATCTACAGACTGATAAATTGATGGACAGGTAGAAAAAAACTATAACTAAAACACTAGACAAGCCATCTTATCTGGACATGTTGAATCAGCTCGCTAAGAATAAACTACATGCTACTTCAGTGACATGCTTGGCTACTTCATGCCTATGATTTAGTGACCTAGTTATCTGACCATCAGAGTAAATGGCTACAAACAGTTTGTGTTATTGTACAGTCACTGTTGAACACAGTGACCAGACCCCTTACCCCTCCCCTTCTGGTGAGACAGCCAGTGAGAGCAGTGGTCATTAGCATACAAATTAAGACCCAGAGACTGACCTTATCTTCACATAGGAGTAAATGACAAGGTAAAACACAAACATCATACAAAGACTGACTTGGTTTTGTTTGCTTCATATTCTTCATAGTTGTCTTTCAAAGAGGGAACCATAATAAAAAGAACAAAATGTCTCTTCACATTTACTTATAAATACTTTGTGAACAAATTTGTAGTTTGTAGTATTTAAATACTGTGTATTTCTACAAAAACATGTATTAAATATGATAAACTGTTTAATGAAATCGTTACTATAATGAATGATACTGAATTAAAGATCTTGTTGAATATTTGACTGTGACTAAGGAATGATTTGAGTCTGAGTGCTGTAAATATTAATTGCAGTAACTACCTGGCAACCCTGCTGTGGATATGCTAGTGTAAATTTCCAGAGCGCACCTTCATGAACACATGACCCGTCTCGTTTGACTGAGGGATGTTCATTTTGCTCCACTGTATTGTTTTACTTGTGTTATGATGGGACGTTGTTGACACAGATATTTGTATGTTTTTATTGAAACGTTAGATGTGAATTTAGAAAATAAGCTCAGATATGAGTTTATTTGAACATATATTGTGAATAATAGGGGCAGTTGTGGGCTGGAGGTTAGGGAACCAGCCTTAGGTTTGATCCCCTGAGCCGACAGTATGTGACTGAAGCGCGCTTGAGCAAGGCACCTGACCTCCAACTGCTCCCCTGGTGCCGTGGATAGGGCTGCCCACTGCTCCGGGCAAGTGTGCTCACTGCCCCCTAGTGTGTATGTGGTGTTTCACTGCGTGGATGGGTTAAATGCGGAGGTGAAATTTCTCCGTTGTGGGACTAATAAGGGTCACTTAATCTAATCTAATAAAGCAGTTGGTATTATTTGTATAAGTTGTGACATGGATCACTGTGCAAAACTATCAATTCATTTTCTAAATAAAAGAAAATAATGGGACAATTAAAGAAAATTAACACCAATTACAGCATCATCTGTTGAACTACAGCAAGAACTGCTATTCAGGCTGAACAAATCTCACCTTCTTTCAACAAACCATAGAATATTATATGATTAGACTGTTATTGTAATTACTACAAAGTACCATCAGTCAGCATTTCAACTATTATATTCTATTTAAAAGACACAAAAGATTTGTTGAGCTGGACTGTTGACTGTGCCCGAGTTTCCTGGAAGTGTTTCGGTGCTGAACGTGTTGTAATGTAAACATTAAGGGAGTGAATGGTTTGAAAAACAGCAGAAACTCTGATATTCCAACATGCATATCCAGCTATTCCTGTCCATGCAAGCTGGGTTTAGCTCAGTTAGCACAGACCCTGGACCCTGTGTGTAGATTACGGTAACTGATTATTTAAGCAGGCTGCCTTAACAAAATATCAGCAAAAAAGTAAAAATTAGTACTATACTAATATTGCTGGAGTTTTTAAACACTCACTGTCCACTCTCTTAGACACTCCTACCTTGTCAGTCCACCTTGTAGATGTAAAGTCAGAGACGATAGCTCATCTGCTGCTGCAGAGTTTGTGTTGGTCATCCTCTAGTCCTTCATCAGTGGTCACAGGATGCTGCCCACAGGACGCTGTTGGCTGGATATTTGTGGTTGGTGGACTATTCTCAGTCCAGCAGTGACACTGAGGTGTTTAAAAACTCCAGCAGCACTGCTGTGTCTGATCCACTCAGACCAGCGCAACACACACTAACACACCACCACCACGTCAGTGTTACTGCAGTGCTGAGAATGATCCACCACCCAAATAGTACCTGCTCTGTGAGGGTCCATGGGGGTCCTGACCACTGAAGAACAGGGTAAAAGGGGGCTAACAAAGTATGCAGAGAAACAGATGGACTACAGTCTGTAACTGTAGAACTACAAAGTGCACCTATATAGTAAGTGGAGCTGATAAAATGGACAATGAGCGTAGAAACAAGGACATAATGCTATGGCTGATCGGTGAATAATGTATAGCAGAGTTTATTTTCTTTTTCATAGGGAAAGCTTCGCTATCGTAGGCCCAGTGGCCTAATGGATAAGGCATCAGCCTTCGGAGCTGAGGATTGTGGGTTCGAGTCCCATCTGGGTCAGTTTATGCATGTAAAGACAAAAAAAGGCCTAATGGTTGTTGGATCTTTCCTGCTGTATTTAAGGTTCTTAAGGAGGGGAGCCCAACCTCATCCCCAAAAGACTGGCTTGCAGGCTTAGAGGAACCACCAAACTGCACTGGACACCGGCCCAACCCAGGACAAGAGTTGTGCACCCCTGATCTGCACTGTGTTCTCATCCACATCATACTTAATATCCTCTCCTGCTGATATACATACAAATAAGCACTTGCTTATTGTGTGCTGGGCCCACAATGGACCATCCACTGTCAATAAAATAACTCCAGGAAATCAAATCAATATGCAGTTTATTTTTCATTATAGATTCTGCAGAAAATGGCAACAGTGTTTGCAAGCATTTGTATGAACAATGACATCTGCAGCATGTTCTTTAATGCACCAGTGGTATCATGTAAGACTCCCACTCTTGTGACCTGGGTTCAATTCCCAGTTGGTGCATGAACTGTCCACCTGCAGCTGTGGTTATAAGCTTGGTTCATGCAGTCCCTAGCAGCACACATGAACTTGATATTAAACATGTGGAATCAGGTTTAGCTCTCGCTTATTTGGGATGAAAACCTGCAGCCACACTGTACAAAGCTCAAGATTAGCAGCAGCAGACTGTTTTCAGTGCACACAGCATAAAATGCCAGAAACATTTCAGGTGTGATATTCTGATGGAGACAGGTCACCCTCTGCTGGAATCCTGGTGAAATTACACCCATGCTGATCTCACTAATGCCTCTGTGGATATTTATAAACATGGAGTGTGTTCACATTGCATTTAAAGGAACATCTCACTGTGCTCTGCTTTATAATACAGTTAAAATACAAATAACTCCCACTGTGATGCTGAAAAAGCACAGCTTACTTTACCAAGCACAGAAGAAACCATCCGTCTCTTCTACTGCAGTGATATAATGTAAGCAGTGGTTTAGAAAAGTTGCTCTAAATCCCAACACAAGTCAGGGCTTCAGGCCAGAACATGGTTATAAAGGAAGCATCAAGCTGGTAATACCTGGTTACATGTACTCAATTTCCAAGTACTTTTTAAAAGATAACTTTTACTTTATATATGTAAAGAAAGACTTTCCTTAATTGTCATATTAGTTCCTAATCTCGGTATTTGGTTTAATATAGTGTTGGTAGCAGTCGCTGATCTCTTATGACTGGACACAGCTCACATGCAAAGTTTTGTTTTTAATCAAGACTGCAATGAGCTGCTACTTTTGAAGTTGTATTATATATTTAACAGACTTTTAAAGTAGTACTTTTAATTCTAATCATGTCAGGGACCTCATCCAACCAGCAGCTAAGGAAGTTTCTCTTGCTCTTCACCTGATCCACCCAATTTCTTTATAAAATGGAGTCATCCTGACTTTGCCCTACATTAAACATACAAAAACGAATTCAAATCTGTAAACGTGTTATGTGAATATGGACCAGAGTACTCATTACCTTCATTTTCATCTTGTATAGCTTAAGTAAAGCAGCTGATCACACATTAAAATTCTGTCATGTGGTTTTTAGGGTTTCTTTGTCCAGGTAAAACATGTGCAGCAACACTGCATCCTTCATAACTAGTGAGCATGAAGACGAATCCATTCGGACTGTGCATAATAATCCTTTATTTCATTCCAAGTCAATATGCATGTTTTAACACAGGTTCCCTCTAAGCAGATCCAAAAACAGGAAAAACAAAAGAAAAACCCTCTAAACAAAAAACTATTCATATAAACATCTTTAACCTCTTTACATGCCACCTCTGCACTCAGTACATAGAAAATAACAGAGGCTGCACCTCCTGAAGCTTCATACTTCTGCCTTTAGCAACACTGTGGTAGGGTACTGGGTCTAAACCAAGCCAGGCTGGACTGAGTACGCAGGCTTTCCAGTCAGATCACATTCACAACCAACGGGACAAACTTGGCTTTGAGAATTGGGCAAATTTGGTAATGACCAAAAATGAAATGCAT